AAGACAAGACAGACTTAATTAAGACAGCGGGTATCTTGTGTTCTTGTGAAAGATGTTAAGTGGAGGATTCACACAGATGTATATATAGAGATTGTGTTCTAAAGTTAAAGTAGGGCATTTGTTGAAAATTAGACCTCGATTATTTTTTAAATCCTAAAATCATTGTGCTGAATACATGTATTAGGAATCGTATAAATGACTTCCTATCTTGTACATATAGATATAATTCTTCATGTAATATAGTTATGTGTTGTATAATGTTTTAAGGCTTTTGTGTACATTTTGGAGCTGTAAACAAAATTGCTTATTTGTATTTTTTTTTATAAAATCTAACTTAACGAAATAGTGATAATTTGGCAATTTTTGCATCTCTAACTACGGTAAGTGAAATCTTGCTAATTTGGCATTTATATAATCATTCATTAGAATCTTACTTGGTGAAATATTGCTAATTTGGCATTTTACATAATAATCATAAATTACCATCTAACTTTGCGTAATATTGCTTATTTGGCATTTTAAATAAGGATTATGAATAAGCATCTTACATTTGTATTAAATGAAATATTGCTAATTTGGCATTTTACTGTTGATGAATCAGCATATTTTATATTCTGTAAAACTGTCTCAGTCATGTTCATCATATTAGGGGGGATTAATTGTTTAATTAAGTTGTTATGTGTTCATTTGTAAAGCATTAAAATTATAATCTTGCAACCATTTTGTTAAATATTGCCATAAAATAACTCCATAAAAACATCATTCTTACTTATGTAATAAAATTTGCAAAAATATTGCCATATAAACTTCAATATTCGTTATCTTACAAAACTTGCTAAAATATTACTGTTAAACATAGCTGTGTTGAACAGTTAGTTATTCAGTACATATAAAATGATGTGATGTGTTTTATGGTCAACAAATATGTTGTTGTTTTTTGTGGTTATTTACTTTATGTTTTTAATTAGAAATATTACCTCTTTATTTTAAACAGTTCATATTCTGAAAAATTTATGATAGATTTTTAAACATAAAAGTAAAATTGTTTATTTAATATAGTTATGTCTCGAAAGTTATATTTTGTTTTCTTACATTTTTGTTTAATTTATTTTTGTATTCTACCTCATATTTAATATATATTGTCTCAAACTTACAATTTTCTTTGCCTTTTTTCTTGGTCGTAAAATTTATGTTTTTTCTGTTTAACAAATTTTAGTTAAAATATCAAAATTTAATTTGTATTCTTTATTTTTGAACAAATTGTAAAAGGATTTTGAAAAAAGGATATTTTTCTAGTTTTGTATTTATTTACACCATGAATACTCATGTTCGTTTAAAAACTATTATGAAATCTTGTTCAGTCATTTTTTACCATTATTTTTTTGTTTCTTTTGTTCATAAGACAAATCTTTGATTTAAGTATGTCAAATAAATATTTTGAAACTGTAACTTATTATATGAAAAGGGTACAAAGTACTAAATTAATAAATGAAATGCATTTATGCATTTAAATTTACTTATTAATTTTTTAAAACTGTTGATTGTAATAATAAGGGAAGGGTTCACCATACTAAATAAGTAATACAATAAAAAATATGCATGAAAATTAATTCAAAACTTTTGAAACTGTTATGTGTCATAAAGATATACAGTTCTAGATAAATTATTAAGTTTGTGCCTGAAATTATAGAAAGAGTGCCACCAGTAAAGCTGAAAAGTTGCCATATGACCTAATTAAATGTGTTTATTGGTGTGAAGTAAAATCCATCCAAAAACAAAGGATCAAGTCTCTCTTCATGGCAAGTTAAAATTTAGGTCTACAAAGAAATAGGATTTAATGAGAGAAAAGATTTTTTTCCTCATTAAAAAGATTTATTTCTCTAGGTTTAAAACTTGTTAAAAAGTGATAAGTTTTCTTTCTTGGTTGTTCGATTACTAAGAAGTATTGACATGATATTCCACAGTTTCCATGGTGTTCTTTGAATAATGTTAACATCTGAGAAACAAAGTGATTTATGAAATATTATGTATATAGACATATATTATTCACATTATCTAATTCACAATCTCCTATGTTTGTTTATAACATATTTATATCAGATAGGAGGGCCCTGTCAAGTAATTATAGACTTAAAGTTTCATCATATGTACTGTGCATGGTATTTTATGCTTGAATATTTGTACGAGATGCATGTATATTTCAGTAATTTTTGATGTCATTGATTGTACATGCATGTCATTCGATCAATTTAGTAACCCAATATGTATAGTGTTACATTTAGTTATTCAAATCATAATACAGATCATGAGAAATTTATGGTAGTCTTTTAAGCAAGAAAAGTCCTATACTAAAAACAATATAAAGTGTTAAACCTCTTTCCTCTAATAAATCTGGATAAAGTGTGATCATTTAGAAGCATTAATGAATTTAATCACAACAAAATTACATGAAAATTGCAGGCTTGGCTTGATTGTGGGAAAAAATCCAACATCCCTTTGAATGCTGGGAAAATATCGTCTGCTTTACTTTTGAATACTGCATTTACTCAATTTAACTCAAGACAGCCATAAAAAGGATGACTGTCAAAAAGGGTTGGTTTCTGGCACAGCACTGAGGTACGGTGTTAGATCCAGTACCAAGGATTCTAGAAAGGCCACTGTGGTCTCTTTAAGCAGGTGATGGATTAAAATCCCAAGTCATGCCAGATTGCACTGCTAAGAATGTCAATATGTTATAAAACTATAATACTAGATGCATAACCATATTCTTTTTTGCATTTCAATCATTAAAAGTAAGTTATACTAACATAATATACATTATTCATTATATAATATACATTATTTATTAATTGACAAGACTAAATTTTAGTTCCTATGAGTATGTAAAAATTAATTATGTTGTTAGTTGATACATGTTTCATGCCGTTTTGTATGTTGTTGTTATTTTGGGGGGGGGGGGATGTCAAAAATTTCCCCACAAGTCTGGGTAATGAAATACTGGTTATAATACTATAATCATATTTACTGGCTCTTGTCTCAATGCCTGAGAGAAATATTTTTACAACACAATACACATGTATATATAAGTTTAGGTGCTTATGCTGTTATGCTAACATTTTGCACGTTTTACACAATGTTTGTGTGACGCACATAATGTCACGTCAAAAAATGGCTGTGCAATTTCATATTTACTAATGCACAAAAGCCACACGGGTATGTTATAAATTTAGATGTTTAACAAGAGGCTGTTAAAACTCGGTGTACTGTATTCTCAGCACCGAACATTAAATCTCTCAAAATATCTTAAATTCCATAAATGGAACAATGTCAAAAACTGGTTACAATAACATGAAATTAACTCTCAGTCTGTCAAAACTCAGTGTATTGAAATTATTTATTTGAACAAAGCACTGCCAAAGTCCAATACATATTTATAATGAATTGTTTTTTAATAGAAATCTGTCAATATAATTTTATATTAACTAACACTGTGAAAACTTATTATATAAAAACCTTTATACAGTGATAAGATTTCTAGGGTTAAAAAAAAGACTTACATTAGTCCATGTGTTCAACAACCATCTGTATATATACATGTATATAGATGTTTTCTTGTTAACCCTTAACCTGCTGGAACCGGAAGTGTTTAGTCTTTGCTACATTGTACCAGTATAGAGCCAGGCCAGCCTGCACGCTCGCTGATGGTGTTGGTAGTCTACTGTAGTCTGCCCTCCAGATCACGGGAGTAAACTGCACTGAATTTTACCAGAGCACAGTTCAGTCACTGCATCGTTCTTTGGCAGGATACCAAGCAGTTTACTTCACTTTTGCAAGGAACTGATTACTTTTGTGCATGCCAGTGCGAATGATTGTAGACAGGGATTTTTACGGCCTCGCCTTGTAGTCTGACCAGGCTTTATACTGTTGCACGGATTTATATTACAACTTAATATGTAATATAAATCCGTGACTGTTGGTAGCTAAGTTCTTATATTTTGATATGAGAATCCCTTAAACTTAGAATGGACTGTTCCAAATTTAAAGATGGACAAATCCATTCTACAAATTAAGCAGGTTAAAGGTTCGTTCATTATTTTGGCATTTAGTGCTAGACGTTTTGTGTCATATGTTTATGATATTACTTTATTTTTCTTTCCTTTTTATTACTGTTATTTTTTTCATTTACCTCTTTTATTTTTTGTGAAATACTGGTAGCTTATAAGTCACATATTTATTATTGGTAGTTCAAAAAACTCTTTTCTGTAAATAAATTGTTGCAAAGTTATAGACAAATAAAAAACGTTTCTTTTGTTTAAAGAGGTGTGTTGTTGTTTTGGTTTTTCCATTTAATTAATTGCGTTTATTATCATGGCGATATTGTCCATAATGTATTCTACATAATGGGTATGACATGTACTACTTTCAGTATTTCAAGATCTTAATAAAATCTTTAATCACACTACATCCAGTGTAGTTAGTTCAAGTACAAGATTATCAGCCTCCTGTTCAAATAGAATGTCCATGGTGAACTGACAGGGACTTTGGATTCTTTCATGTGTGTAAACTATCCACCTAGCTTCTGAACGTCAGTGGTTCTACTTGGATACCCGTTCGTGCCTGAAATGATGCACGGAAGAGCCCCTGAGATCTTCCTTCAACAATAAAGCTTTAAGGTCGCCATATGAACTATACTGTGTTGGTACGACAGAATCCCCAACTAAAAAGAAAAACTCAGAGCAGCATCTTTCAAAGACCCTTCTCAGACTTAGAATCAATATTACTTATCATTGTAGGGTCATGGGACCATATTGACAAGGACTTTTGTATGCCCCCACTTCTTTGGAGGTTGGGGAATATTGTTTTGCTATTTTCTGTCCGTCTGTCACGCTGTCCATCCCTAGGCTGACAAAAAAACAATAGAATGTGGGGACATCCGTGTACGATAGACACAAGAATCCAACGCTCTTTTTTGAGACACAAACACAACAGTCATTTCCTCTTACACTTTTAATGCAGAATACAGAGTAGTTCCATTTGTTTGGACAATGTTGTAAACGATCCGTTTCATAGATGCATTATGTGTAAATATTATTATCATAAAGTGCGTGAGGATCTAGTTGTTTTTCTTCCGACCAAGCAAGCATTTCTCCAGTCCAATCATTGGAGACTCAAACGCCAGAGATATAACAAATGCGGATGCATACGTAATGCACATGTGACCAATGAATCTATAAATCTGCAAATAAAACAATTCAAAATTTTCACCTCGTTTTACATTGAACGAGAATTAAAACTGGAATCGAAAATAGATTTGTGTTCGAACTGTATAAGAACAGTTAAGTTTTATATGATTGTTTGTCTTCAACCATAATCTCGAAATTGGCGTAACAAGTATTCAGACTTTGGAGTTGTATTTATTGGAATTATGCATATGTAGAATGGAAATTGACACAAGATGCAGCAAAAATGAGACTATATTAAAGATGTTCAAGTATTTTAAGACATCAATTCAAAGAAATACTTGAAGCACTTCTAGAAAAATAATTAAAATGATTGATGATTAATAAGTATTCTATCCGATAAGAGAATGGTTTATCATGGACCCAAATTTCACAGCCTTACTCTAAAATACCACTTATATCCTATCTACGAGTATTTACCTAAATTTAAACTGACAACTGCATGGGAACTAGATAAAACGTCACAAAAATCAGGGTACGTACCAGTTCTATGTCCGACCAGTGCTCTAAGGTTCGTCTGCTATACACTTGTAATGTGATGACGATCGGATGTAACAGGTAAGCGCAGTATGTCAGACGACTGAGTGGGGCAAAACCTTTCCATGAGAGGAAAGCGTCCACAGGTCCTGTTAAATAAGAATTGACTGAAATTTTTACGACTGCTGGAAAATATAAGTGTATCGCAAATGAAAGCTGAATGATAATGGTGAAGATGTAATATCTCTATAATATTTGTTTATTCAAACGCTCAAACACATTCGAGCCATTAAATGGCTATATGGGTGCCAAAGCTTGTTTACGGAAGGTCGGTATCAATGGTTTTACTCCGGTGCATGCTCAAGCCAAAAATTTTCAGAGCCAAAACTATGATCTTTATAGTGCAAGTATGACTTAAAACTCAACCAATGTAAAAGAAGATAACATATTCCGAGCCAAGTGTGTTAAAGTTCACAGGGAACGGTAACAGTTAGAAAAATGCAAAATATATATAACTTTACCACCATATCCACTCGCACACGAGAGTATGACCCAGGCAACGGAAAGGGACCATGCTATTCTTGCAGTGGCATTGTACAGGGCGGACATGTCCACATTTAATTTATCCGTTGAACCGTCCGGTGTGTACAGGCCATATACCACGGCTATCGCGACACATGTAGCCAACACCCACCCAACACAATTTATTAACTGCAATCAGTGGGGGAAAAACATGTTTGTAAAAATTTACTTGATACGAGGGTATTTGTTCAGGTCACATTAAAATTCTGTCATTAAATTGCAAAAGGAATATAACAAGAGTCAGTGGAATGAAAAATCTAACAGGGGCTATATGTTTATAAAACTGTCCAGACTAAACATGGTTAAATGGAAAAGGCGTAACCACGAATTCATTAGTTACAATAGTACCGCCTGGTTAGCACAGGTAGAGTGTTGGACTGTGAATCGGACGATCCGGGTTCGATTCCTGGACGTCACAGGTCACTCGCTGTGACTGATCAGGAAATCCTTTCTATGGTTATTCGCGCTGTACCTCTGCTCTGGCATGTACAGAAATTATCAGTTCCTTGCAATAGTGAAGGCAACCTGCTTGATAGCCTGCCCAGGAACGATGTAATGGCTGAACTGTGCTCTGGTAAATTCAATGTGACTAACTGCTTGATCCGGAGTGAAAACTACCAACACCACCACCATGAATTCATTAAGCAAAATTCCTTTTTAAAGAGGCTCAAATATTATAATTGCACCAACCTTTGAGAATTTTATTTTACACTCTGTTTTGTACAATAAATATCCGGTATATATTCCTACAACATAAGGTCCTATCCTTGACCAAGGTTTAAAGTATATTTCAAATATATCATCCATATCTGTGCTGAAATATAACTAATAATTTACCTATCATAATTTCATACTTAAATGCTGGTTGTTCTGTTATTCAAAGCAACCGCATCAATAGCAAGAGAACTTCATGATTTGAGTTTCAAAATTCAAAAAAAAAGGGAAAAAATCATGTCCAAACCCATTTAAACTATGAAAGTGGTACAATCCGAATAAAATATAGGTTTTAAGTAATTCGAACCCTTTTGAAACTGGATCAAAATATTTATACTATTATTATATGTAACTCCTATAAGTTCGAAAAAAATCCGTCACTTTTCGTGTATTTATAACGAAGCTGTGTGATCAGGATTTTTCTTTGCTGCTTATACTTGATCTTTGTCTGACTGGACAACTTAGAAATTGACCAAACTTTCACAATTTTAATCTGGAAGAGTTACATTGAAGGGAACACAAGAAAGAACCCACGGCGACAATGCCAAAGCAAAGTTTTCAATGCCTAAAGAGATGAGTACCGTTTCATTGGAGCTGGACCAAAAACTTAAATGTGCAAAGTTTCAGATAATGTGCTCATTCAATTTCTTTAATTGCGCATGAAGACCGAAAAATGAAAAGCATTTTTAAAACCATTTTGTTATTACACAACACAGGATTAGATGGCAAAAAACAATCGATCTTAAAGGCAAAATATTCCTCAGAAATGATTAAACTTTTATATCTTTAGGAAGGGCAAACATGAATTTTATAACGTTTAAAATAATTTGTTTTTAACACCGTTAGATGCGTAACGAAGAAAAGTTGCAAAAAAATGTGAAGTAAGCAAAATTTTATATAAATTGTATTATTTTTCCTTTTTTGCATACTCAAAATACCGGATTACTACAACTGTACTTTTGCCAAAAGGCAACAGACGAAAAAGATGGTTAGTATATTTCTTTATTATATATTTACATATTTTTCCCGTTTTATGACCTCAATGAAGCTCCTTTAAGATATATATTATGTACCTGAACAGCAGGTTGGCATTAAACTCATAATGTTTAGATATCAGACCACGTGACACAACATACCCAGATAACGCTAAAAGGCACGATAAGCTTCCCCATGAATTTGAACTGAAAAAATTGAACATGATTTAATATCTGAAATTCAAAATTGAGCTTTTTTATATACACTTAGACGTTAGTAGAATAAAAAAAGATGATCTTAAAAGATACAAACAGGGTTCGCTTTGTAGGGTATTGTATTTAATGTCGAATACGATACTATACATGTAGTTTATTTATCGAATTTATACTGTATTTTTTGAAAATCTAATATATATTGTAGTTAAATATCTAATTCGTGCCTGTGTTAATAATGAATATAAACAGTGTAGTAGTTCAATACAATATGATATTTGTAGTTGAAAATCTAATACGAATTTTGTATATTAGTTCAAGATCAAATAAGCGCTATTTTAGATATATTTTCCTAAATCTGTAGGTTTCTAGAATTCTAGACAACTACTTCTTTAAGTTTTTTTCCC